GCTCCAGATCTACCTGCAATACCAGGCAATCCTCGTCTGCCAGGATATCCTTTTGGTCCATCGATACCTGGTTCACCGCGATCCCCTTTTGCTCCCGGGAATCCTGGGAGACCCCCTCTACCTGGTTCTCCTGGTAACCCTGGCTCACCTTTAAATTAAACGATTACAATTAATAATATGTATAATATGTATAATAATTATTAATAATATTTAATTATTATTATTAATTCTAGCAAATTATGAACTTAAATTATTTTCTCTAATTTTTTTTAGAACGACATTACATAATTGTTAGTTATTGCTGACATATGAAATCCTTAATCCGTTATACCTTTGATCCCATCCGCTCCTGGAATACCAGCAGCACCTGGAGGACCAGGTGGACCAATTGGACCTGTATCTCCTTTTGCACCAGGTGCTCCTGGCAAACCATTTATTCCCGGTGGGCCCATGTCTCCTTTTTCGCCAGTAAAGCCTGCTAATCCCTGATAACCGCGTGGACCTTCTTTTCCTGGTGGTCCAGGAAGACCTTTCTCTCCCTTTTCACCCGGAGGACCTGTTAGACCAGGACTACCTTTGACTGATATTCCAGGTTCTCCTTTTTCACCCTTCGGAGCCGGAGCACCTGGGAAACCCCTAGGTCCTTCTCGACCAGGTTCTCCTGGGAAACCCATAGGACCCATGTTACCCTTATCACCACGCGGACCAGGTAAACCTCTTGGACCCACAGGTCCAGGAGCACCGATTGGGCCAGGTGTACCGGGTGGACCCTGATTTTTAAATTGCAACATTATGTTGTGACGTCATATTTTTTTACAAATAAAATAACTACTTATGTGTTTAGTTTATTATTTATCATTATTATTATTTAATTTATTATTTATTGTTTTTGATATAATTGTTATTAAAATTAAATTATTAATAAAACTTAGTAATTAATTTTATTTATAAAAAAATTTACATATATTTATCATATATAAATAGTTCTGAGGAATATTTTTTCACAAGTTTTTTTTGTTGATGTACTTACCGACAAACCATGCAATCCTTTATCACCAGGTAATCCATCCCTGCCAGGTGGTCCAGGTTCTCCTTTGTCACCAGTTAAACCTCGATCACCTTTGAAGCCTTTCATAAGATCGAGTGGTGGACATTGACCTAATTAAAGATACAAAAATAATTTTTATTGTATATAATATTTATAAACATATATAACGTATTTTTACATTTTCAAGATAAATAATAAAAAAAATAAAGAATTTTTTAAAAAATTGACAAAGTCTTACCAGGTTCACCCTTAAGTCCGTACAAACCAGGTTCTCCTTTCTGTCCTGAAAATCCTGGTCGACCTGATTCTCCAGGTTCACCTTTTACACTTAATCCTTTCTCTCCCCTACGTCCAGGCGTTCCCGGTCTTCCTGGAACACCATCTTGTCCAGGGAATCCACGATCTCCCTAAAAGTGACGAGTTTGTAATCTGACGTATGAAAAAGATTTGCCAGAAAAATATTGACTGTTTTTTTTAAATTAATAAGGATAATTGAGAAATTAATCTTACTGGCGTTCCTTTAAGCCCTGGAAAACCTTCGAATCCAGGTCTACCCTTTTCTCCTGGAGGTCCTTCTGGTCCCGGCGGGCCTTGTCGACCAGGCTCTCCACGCGCTCCTTTATCACCCTTTTCCAATTTAAGCATACTCCATGTCACGGTTGCTGGGATTCCGGGCTCTCCTTGAGGTCCTGGAGCACCGGGTATACCATCTTTTCCCTTATTGAAAAATTGATATATTTTTTTTTATTTTACAATTTACACACAATTACAGTGCGCAGGTATATAATGTCTGTATAATGTTTGTATCAGTTTTTTGAATATTTTCTAAATGTTTCAAAATATATATTAAGCAGAAATATATAAAAATTTAAAATTATTTCTCAGGTATAAATAAAAAATATTCTATTTTTTCAAACAATTAATATATAAAAAGCCAAAAAAGCCACTTTTAGTTTTTTTATTTTTACAGATTTACTTAAAAACTCTGTTTTAGGCTATGTATAATTGACAATAGATTTCAGAAGAGAATTCTGTTTATAATTTTTATGTGTCGTGCATTTTATTAGATATTTATATTATGTATGTGTTATATGTGTGTGTGTGTGTGTGTGTGTGTGTGTGTGTAAATTTATCTGACAATGAAATATTGTTAACAAAAGAAATCGGTAAATTATATGATTTTTTAGATGCAAAGTTCTTTTTATTACCTTTGTTAATCACGATAGTATTTTTTATAAAATATTTTGTTTTCTGAAACATTGTCAATTGAACATTAAAAATAAAATCCGGAGGATAGTCATTATTTAATAAAAATATTAATGATAAGTTCAAAATTTTTTTAATGAAATTTTGGATCATAAAAGAAAAACACCTTATCAATTATATCTTTTTTCTGTGAGAAAGGATATCTGGATAAAAAATTTTGGTATCTAAAATTTGGTATCCTGAAGAAGTCGGTTTTAGATACCAGTCAAATAATAATCTTTTATTTTTTAATTAAAATGGTTGTGTCAAAAAAATTAATTTTGTTATCCTCTACTTCAATTGTAAATTGTAATGTTGTTTGTTTTGAATGTTAACGTTTAATGTTAATGTTAAACGTTTTTTTTAAATTATCGATTTGTGTAATAGGAATAGCTGCTACGAGTATCGTCAACGTAACGATAAAAAAATCTGATCGGGAAATCAATGTTATTAAGAATATTTCCTTCAAGGTTAGTTATTACCATATCAGCGATAATCGGTTACAACGGGGAGCCCATACCGATTATCATCAGTTACCACCGATGTTATTTTTTGTACATATAAAAAATAATTTCACATATATCTTTGATATTCTTATTCTCATTATAGCTTCACTTCATAAGAATTACTTGTTCTGTTCTGGGACGAATCTAAAGAATCTCTTTGATATGTTAGATGATTGATATATTGCCATGATTGATGTACTACTTGCACAAGATAGAATTATTATGTTCAATTCTGTTGAGAATGACTTGAAGTAAGTCGAAACGCGTACGAATTATACGGACATTATACACTTTTATATTAAAAATGGGCTTTTAAACATCCATATTGTTATATTTGCGCACAGAATACCACACTGACTCCTACTTCCTCTTACATTTTTGTCTTTAATTTGTTAAAAATTAAGGGGAATCTTTTAACATTAATTATTATTTTTTATTAAAATACATTACATCGCAATTATAAAATTCTTAATTTTAACGTGTATATTATTATAAGAATAAAAAAAATGAACATGTATAAAATTATATCGACATATTCGAAATATAAATATTGCCTGACAAGATAAATAGAAAAATAGAAAAACAAATTAATAAAAACGATATTAACATACCGGTGATCCTGGAGGTCCGATTGTGCCTGGCAAACCATCCACTCCAGCTTCTCCAGGGAAACCGCGTTCTCCAGGTGGTCCTCGAGGACCAGTGAGTCCGGGTGTACCATCGAAACCACGATCTCCTTTAGCGCCTCGCAATCCCGGTATACAATCTATACAACGACCGCCGATATCTCCTTTCTCTCCAGACGCTCCAGAAAGACCTGGTACACCGTCCCTTCCTGGTGCTCCGGCTTCTCCTGGCTCACCGGGTGCACCCGGTGCTCCTGGAATACCGTCTAGAGAATCTCCTGGTCGACCACGTACCCCCGCGTAACCCCGTTCGCCTTTTTGACCCTTCTCTCCATCTAAGCCAGGCGTTCCATCCATTCCTTTCGGTCCCTACACCAAACATAATAACTTAATTACTTTTTTTAATAATCAATATAATAATTGCAAGATCTGATCATATACTTTACCATTATAGAGAATCCTTTATCTCCTGGCGGTCCTCGAGGTCCCACTGCTCCGGGTGGTCCATCAAATCCACGTGGTCCTGGACCTCCGGGGAATCCGGTCAAGCCAGGCTCACCCTTTGCACCCTTTTCTCCTGGCAAACCTTCTGGACCTGGAATTCCATTCGATCCAGGACCTCCTTGTAAACCTACGGGTCCTCTCGGTCCTGGATCTCCTGGGAAACCATCTGCTCCTCGTGGCCCAGTAGGTCCTGGAAAACCACGTGGTCCTTTCGGACCTGGTGGTCCAGGTCTTCCTTTACCACCCTACGATGCGATATTCAATAAAATTTTAATTTAAAAATGACATTTCTTTAGTTTAGCTTTGCATATATTACGTAAACGTCAAAGAATAATGTATAAAAAGAGTTATTTTTAATTATACATATTAATTTTATGAAAAAAAAACTTACTCCTGGTGGTCCAGGAGGTCCTCGTAAACCTGGAACACCCATCGTTCCATCTCGACCGGGTTCTCCTTTTTTGCCGGGTCGTCCAGAAAGTCCCTCCAATCCATCAATACCTCGATCACCTTTTCGTCCAGGAGGTCCAGGAGGTCCAGAGAAACCATCTCTACCCTAAAGTAAAAAAAAAGATTAATTATTTTTGTAAAATTTAATAACTTAATAATATATTAATTTGTTTTATTAAAATTATAAAAGATTATATTTTATGTATATTATATATATCTGATACTCGGGTATATGTGTGTGGTTAACAATCTTTTTATAATGAATGTACTTACACGAATCCCTGGAGCTCCTGGAAGACCCTTTTCTCCTTTTTGTCCTAATCCTCCAGGTATACCATGATCACCTATGAATCCCGGTTCTCCTTTTTGTCCTTCTGGTCCCATTTCACCCTAAATATTATTCTAGTTAGTATATAATTTTACATATATAATAATTAATGCAGAAATACCGCGATAATATTTTTCTACGTACTTTATCTCCTTTATAACCTGGTTCTCCAGGTGGACCTCCGTGGATTTCCGGGCCTCCCACGAATGGCATGATGGGCGCAGTTGAACCCGGAGGTCCTGGTTCACCCTTTTGACCTTTGTCTCCCTTTAATCCTTCAAATCCAAGACCCATGTTTCCTTTTTCTCCTTTAGGACCTAGTATGCCAGGGGCACCCTGGATTACATATATCAAATATATTACATATAATATAGTAATGTATAGAAATATTTTGAAGAAGCAGCTACACTTCAACGGATAATATTTGAACGATATTTACGTAAGGGCCTCGTTCACCCTTTGGACCAGATAGACCGCGTTCTCCTTGATAACCAGGAGGACCGGGAGGCCCTCTTACACCGTCCATACCAGGTTCACCCTTTTGTCCCACTGGAAAAGCACCAGCATACGCTGGTTGACCCTTTTCTCCTTTAGGTCCGAGTAGACCTCGAAGACCGCGAGGTCCTGGTTCTCCAGGTACACCATCACGACCACGTTCACCCTAAAAATATAGTATATAAATTATGATGATATAATAATAACTTATAATCACTTTTAATAAAATTGTTAGAAGATAATTATTAATATGATAATCTTATGTATAAATTATTTGTAATGTCTCTTCAATTTTATAACTTTCATATTTTTATATTTAAAACATTTTATATTTAAAACATGAATGTATGTGATAAAATAATAATACAAATTAAGAGCAAATTAAGAAATGTAATTACGTTAAGATTTTCATGACTTGTACAAAATACTTACATCCGTTCCGTTACAACCATCACGACCGGGAACTCCAGGTGAACCCGGAGATCCTTGTACTCCAGGTACACCGTTTATACCGGGAAAACCAGGCATACCCATTTTTCCCTTTAATAATATAAAATTATTTTTATAGAAAGGAAAAATTTAAATATATTATAATATTATAATTTTATTAAAAATACGTACTCTGTCACCTTTCACACCGTGTGGACCTTGTGGACCAGGATCTCCCTTCTCACCTTTGGATCCTAGAAGACCTTCTGCTCCTGGAAATCCGCGTTGTCCCTTAGGTCCTTGCGGTCCGATTATTCCTGGTGGTCCCTTAAGTGAGTATATTACAATAAATTAAGCGTTTAAAACTCTAGAAAATCAAGTGTACTATTAGCTATTGGCTAAAAGGACTTAGATTTTTAATCTATCGTAAGAATAAAAGAATGATCGTTCGACAACGAATTAAAAAATATGAAGCATGTACAAAGATTATTTGCGAATTGTATAAAATGAAATGTGAGATTATCTATTTTCTCAAAGTTTTATGTTTGAATATTATAATTATTGCTTTAACATCTTTAACATTTTATTATCAATTTTTAAACCAACCCGCGATCCCTTCTCGGCGAAACACTTGGGCGCGCAGCATCCTGATCCGGTGCAGTTTCGCGGTGCTCCAGGCATGGGTACCACCTGGTAATTGCTCGGATAATTTTCGTCATCTCCAGCGGCACCGTAACCCCCATAACCGCGGCCACGACCACCGTAAGCGTCATCGCTTCCACGACTGCCGCCATAAATTTGTCCACTTCCCCGACTCCCACCATAAGCACTTCCGCTTCCACGACCATAGGAATCCGCACTTCCCGCACCATAAGTTCCTCCATAACTACTACTATAAGAATCACCAGAATTTCCTCCTCGCTCACTTTCACCGGCACCTAAAAAAAAACACGAACGAATTAAAATTATCCAAGCGATTTATTGAAAAGTTTATTGAAACGATAAATTAAATATCTGCGTACATATTTCTACTGAAAATATTTTTTTTATAAATCTATATAATGTGCATTATTTTAAATGTTAAAAATTATAGAAAGAAAAAACATTTTTACCAAAAAATTAATTTCATAATATTTTGAACTACAAATGTTTCTTATATACTTTTTTTCTATAATATTGTAAATATTTAAAATATTTTTCTTATACCGATCTCTGAAACGCTTATTTTTCATAATTTGCAAGGACAAGATTGATTACCACTGTATGTATCGTAATCGCCGTGACCATCGAGGTAACCGCCTGGTCGATTTTCGTCAATTCCGAATCCTGGCGTGCCGCCGCTGTCAGGATACCTGTCATAGCCCGGCGATGCTCTATCGTAAGGAAATCGGCCCGAGGAAGATTGACCGTGAGGATCGCTTCTGTTTCTGTTCCAAAAGAATGGAGGATAGGCCCTTTCGTCAGGACTGTAATTACCAGACGTGAAACTGCCGTTCCGCCTTTCCGCATCCTCGTATCCTAGACATGCCAATTAACGAACGTAATGTCGGAATTCCTGATAGTTGTTTCCGACATTTATCCCTATTACGAATACTACCAAATTTTAGGGAACGAAAAAATGATTCGTTGCACGCGACGCAAATTGATAGTCCGCTCGAAGATGAATTGTCTGCACGAAACGGTATTGAAGCATATTAAGTATCTTTCGTTTTTTAACTCTACAAACTTATGTCCTCTTACATAAAATTAAGCTCAACAAATAGCTCAACAATTATGTTCTTCATAAAAAAATCTTTTAATTGAATAAAAAATATAATTATGAAGATGCATCCCTATCGTAAAATCTACAATCCAGTTTTTATATTGTCGGATGACATAAGGATACTGGATGGGAAAGAAGGACGTAATTATTGTACTTCCTCCTATTTCTCACATAAATCATAGCAGCGAAAAGCATGAGGCGGCATGTTGTCCAAGTACCTTCGTTGTCCGTAATAAACCCTTTGCCTAAATATTTGAAATCTGGCGAACTGCCGTAGTCATCATCGCTACCGTTTGTAGGCCTTCCGATATCACCTCGTTCCAGCGGCACGACCGGTCGTGGATTCAGCCATGATGTGTGATTTAATTGCTAAAACAAATATTCGAGAATGAAAAGCTCCATAAATGGAATCGGAAAAGTACTGGAGCATCAGTGCGATCAATAAAACGCGATATCAGACACGTTTGTGTAAAAGGTACAGGTACATGATGAAAACGAGTCACAAATCATTTGTCAAACTTATAACATTAGAAAATATGAGTTTTATTGTAATAAATTTATTTTCTGTAAAGTTTTTAAAAGGTTTATTTTCTTAAAAACAAAAATTAAAAAGTAGGTGAATATAATATTAGGTGTTGGAATTAATTCGTAGCGTTTTTTCTACGAATTAATTCCAACACCTAATACGTTCCGTTGAAAATTGTTGGAAAGATAAATTGAATTTGTTAATTCATACATTATTCAAGATATTATAATTATTACAGAGTGTGTCTCAAATTTTGCATCCAGAATCAATTTGAAGTTAAAAAAATCTTATTACGTGAAAAAAGTAAATATAGGTTTGAATTTATTTCTATATAAAAAATTGTATATACTTATTTATATATTTTTTTATATATGTATGTTAATATAACAATGTAAATTTAAATTAAGCGCACCTAATATCGCTCATAAAATTAATTACTGTATGTATCTTGATCGTAATTTTAAGAGGATTTTACAGCGAAATTACTCTCAGAAACTCATGTGAATAATGATTAACGTTAAAGATAACCTCGTGTGCACTTATTAAAATTATTCTTTGTAGATTTATAGACATGCGTTCTACGACACAAACGTAGCCATAAATTTTTAACGAGTTCACATTTCGTGTGACTAAGATTTATGTTTTATCCACCGAGTGCATTGTTCTTAAAGCTTCATGGCGAGCGGTATGATGATACAAAAAGAGCTACTTTATCGACCGTTTGTACAAGTCTGAAGAGAAGATAAAACATGGCGTTAGTGGTTACTTCTAATGTTCACCGTTCCTTTCTTCCTTCATTTTTTACGCTTAGCGACTATTTCAAGCAGGATTAATTATGTTATCAGATCGGAATATTGCACATTATTGAAAACCTTGTTTTACAACTAGAAAAACGCAACATTAATGCGCTTAGTTTAGATAATTTTATAGAAACGAATAATTTTAAAAAATAATAAAATTCCAATCGAAACTTTAATTAATTAGATTTCCAAAAATGATGATTATGATTTATGGCCTTTTAATTCATTTAAATTTAAAAACTGCATTTGCATAAAATTATATAAAAGAGCTAATAAATTATATTACATTGTTCCTAATTATGCATATATTATTAATATTGTTAAAGTACTGTAATTTAATAATAATTATATATTATTTCATCATGTATTATTCAATTAATATAGAAAAAAGTTTGAAAATATATTTACAGTTGATATACATACTATATTATGTTGATCAAAATAATAAAATCGAATCTAATTAACAACTTGATAAAAATGTAATATATTTATTAGTTTCTTTGTATAATTATCTTTAGTTTTGTATAATAATAACGGCACTTTTAAAATATTATAAGAAATAAATCAAATTAAAATGAAATTGTGCGAAATTATTTAGTGAAGAACTGAAATTATAGCCTTTATAGTTAATGAAAAGAAAAAGACAAGTGTAGGTTTTCGCCTGCAAAAAAAACGTCGTTTCGCAATGAGCGTGTACAGATTTTGCGGTAAATGCGTCATCGTTTTCCCAGAAAGTCATTGTCTTGCCCTCGTTTTCACGTTTTTGTCCTTTTTTTTCGTATTCTCGAGGATGGCACGCGCTGACAGGAAGCGCGGGGAGATAGTCGGTTATCGTTCCGAGATGACGTACCGCCCTCGGAGTGGCTGCGCGTCTGTGCCGCACATGCACCACGTACGATAGAGAGACAACGAAGATAGTGTCCTTTTAAAATTTCATTCATCTACGTGCAACCATGAGACTCGAAACAACGACCAGCAGTCGCGTAGATGTAAGAAATCACTAAAGCCCAAATCGAATGACTGATCGCAAGCACGAGGGTTGAAAATTTCTGTACGATTGAAGAACCTCATGTGATAAAGATTGCAATTTACAACTTTTTAATTCTAGACTTGAGATTTATTCTGGATTACAATCTAAAGATATATCATGTCAAAATAGATTTTCTAGATTAAAATTTAAAGGTGTCGTGTACGAAATAGATTTTGTCAAAAATATCAGAAAAGGAAACCTTAAGATTATATATAAAACAATGACTGCGTTCAACAGAGAAAGCAACTTTGTAATTGCTTTAAAATTTTTTAATATATAATATAATAGTTGATGTTGCCTTCAGTTTCTGCATTTAAATGTATAAATAAATCATATTAAAAAAATAAAAACAACAGTTATAAACCAGCTTTCTTTGCTGAACGCAGGTATTATCCTCGAATCCTGTTGTTATTCTTGAATTACTTATTCGAAAATAACCAACAATCAAATGGAAAATCTGTAATTTAATAAATAGTTAAGGATAAAAATTAATCGATCCCACCTCATAAAAGGAATCGTATTTAACATTCTCTTATTGCAAAGTGTCGCAAATTAGGATTTCTCTCAAATTATCTTGCATCGTAGATTAATCATTCACTGAACATTAATCCTGGACCTAATTTCGATCTAATTTCGATTCAAATGGATTTAATCAATCATGAAGTCCAGTGATACAGAGGTTCGTATATCGCGCAAACTGCTCGCGTTAAAGCGGCATGAAATTATCTCCTCTCTTTCTTTCCACCTCGCCTTCTCTTTTCTTTATTATTTTCGTTATTATCATTTTTATTTATTATATTATATTATTTTCATTCTTTTTTTCTTTTTTTTGTATTTATTGCTATTTTTTCTTTATTCTGCCTGTATGTTCTTATTATTATTATCATTTATTTATTGTATTATTTTCATTCTTATTTTCTCTTTTTGTACTTATTGCTACTTTTTCTTTGTTTTGAACATTAATAAATATTTTATCTGTCTATATCCCCCATCTGTCTCTCCCCCTCCCCTCCCCCTCTCTCTCTCTCTTTCTATCAATCAAATCTGACTTATTGCACGCTCATACGTCATTGCTTGCACAGATCGCGCAAAAGGGAAAGCAGAAATCAAAGCTGTGCGTGGAAATTACTCGTGTTGACCGGTAAATCTAACTAAGAAGGAAAGCGATGAAAGGGTGGAGGTTTCGTCTCAATGATAAATCCATTCGTTTAACAATGAATCGACCGCCCTATAGATAGAGCACACTATAGATAGAACATCACGCAGCGAATCTGCAAACCGTGAAATTATCTTGTCCAATGTTACACGATTCATGAGTTATGCAGATGATAACTGACAAGTCGAGATGCCGGATGATGACGGATTAGGAAGTTGCTTAGCACTTTCAATTTCGGATATGAATCGCGCGCAACGAGTCGCTCTCTTATATTATTATATAACGACGTGTTTCTGTGAAAAATGCCGGAGGAAATGATTGGAATATATTTCACAATTGTGAAGTGTTTACAAGAAAGATGAAGTATGACGACCAAATGCGACTTTTACCAAATTTTTTATATACAAAATAACTTATATATTTAGGTAATTATTTTTAAATTGTAAATAAATTATTAAAAATGTTAAAGAAATTATAGAAAGCTAACAAGACATTTCACGGAAAGAATTGTAAAAAAAAGGTTTTTGTTTAATAAAAATTGCTATTAAATTCATTGATACCTGATAGGTCATTTTGTACGTTGAAAAAAAGTTAATATCTTCATCATCGAAAGGATTCTCTCTTTTACGTACAGAATTTTAAAAGTGCAACCTCATATTTTCGCGTTAAGCGAAGAGCTTTATTCGCCATGAAAAAACGGTCCAGGTTGAAAATCATGCACATTAACTTTGCAACGCATGACGCAACACCGTGACCAGGTCGGGTTAACGTCCTTCGAGCGAAATCAAGACTCCGATACTGATCGATCGATTTGCAGCCATTACACCGACGACTGACGATGGATAAGCGGCAGTTGAGAGACCGTTGACTGAAGAAGCAAACGACCCTACGAAACCGGCTGCTTATTGAAATTCGTTCGTGCGAGGAATGATCCACGACGGTCAGCAGCAATTTCGTTTAACGAAATCGCTTAACCCAATTCTCTTATTTTAGATACGAGATATCTTTTCGTGACGGTTCAAGAATTGTCCCTTTTATCGCCTATCTCGGCCGCCTTCGTGAATCTGCGATTACGCAACGCGAAGTATATTGTGACCGACCGCGATGGCTACGTGTCCCTCCTTCTGTCCCCCCCTTTTCCTCCCCTCACCGACGACCTTGTTCTTCATCTTGCCTTCTTCTCGTCTCGGTCCTCTACTTCTTCTTTTTCTGCACCTCGTCTCAGCCCGCCCGCGTCTCTTTTTCATCTTTTGCCGTCACATTCGAGTCCAGCGTGCTTAACGACCGCGGCCAACGCTGACGTTAACTCTACGTGGGACGGGGTATACGCTAATTCGTTACTCGAGATTTTTTCTGATCCCGAGGCGGCACCACGCGTATTCATGAGCATAAATGCAGCGTCGGATGACGGGATTCCGATGCGTCCGCCGATTTTAATCTGCCTCGTTAAAGCAAGCGGGGAATTTATCGGGGACATATAGAGGGACACGAAGGAATTTGCAATTCAATTAATTAATAAGTCAAAGCCGCTGATACAGAATTCGTTGACTATAGATAATAAAATGAAAATACATATAGATTATCGTTTTTATGTAATAAAAAATTACAAACTTTCTCTTAATCTTTATTGAATCTCTAATGAATCTTTTGAAAAATCTCCGAAAATTGCATATTAATATCGTATATTAAAAAAGTGAAATAATTTCAATTCAATTTTTTATTTAAAAAATTTAAAAAAAAACATTAAATATAGTTTGTCATTTTTAATATTATTAATAGTATTTGTAACATTTAATTTAATAACAATTACATCGCGAATCATCTACAGATATTTTTTTTTCATTCCCATCATTCTCATCATTGAATCAAAGTAGCGCGAGTGGCATCAGAAAGAAATAATTTCGTTGAGAATACGCGCTGTTCTTCGAATTCCAAATCTCAGATGTCAGCTGTGCTCCGATGTCGCAAACAATCGCTAATTCCTGCGTGGCACAGCTTGCGCCTACGCGACGAAACCGCCGATTAGTAAGATTCGTGTTTCGTACAACGGGACATTTCTCCCCAGGTGCGTCTTATTACGCGAGAAATTTTCGAGCGAAAGCGAAATCGCGCGAGGAATGAGGAAAAACAGGTGCAAACGTACGGTGCTGTTTTAACCCAGTGCGCCCCCACGGTTCTCCGACGAGTCTGCGAGACTCGGGGAAATCAAGTCCCGAGCGCGCTCAATTGCTGACTATTTCCAGTAGTGACTAATAAGCTGGCTCGCGTGTACGGTGCGTGTACACGTGCGCGTACGTGGCGGTGGTAATAAAATTACAGCGAGCACAGTTACGACGCCGTAGGCGGACTGGTCAGTATAAGAGACGACTGCCCTATTTCGGATCTAACACCTTCCCGTTCCTGCCGCTCGAGGAAGATATTAAAAAGTCACGGTGGGATTATAACGAGAATGCAGAAAATCAGACCGGAGCTACGAAGGTATAGCAAAATCGTCCAGCGATTTTATTGGTTACCCATCTTTCATACGATCCGCATTGATTATCTAGGTTTACGAGAGAGTCATCTCGAAAGACTAGGATGTCTGTTAGATGCCATTTCTGTGAATGCTCTGGTTCATAAATCGAAATCAAATCGATATCAATTGATTTTTCGGACTGTTTAATTTAATATCGACTACATTTTCTATTGATCTTCGAAGAAGATCGACATTTTATCAGCTGTGTTAATAAAATGTCAATCTTCTTTCGAAGGTTAATAGAAAATCTAGTAGATATCAAATCAAACGATCCTAAAAATCAATCGACTTCTAATCGACTTCTTATAACCCGGAATGTTTAAATAGCTTCTTGTATATTTGGTAGGAGGTTGTTGAAATAAACAATAATTCGTTTACTTTTTCCATAATCTTTATAGATCGTGTATATTGGTATAACTTATTAGAGAGGAAGAGAAAGAGAAAGAGAAAGAGAAAGAATTTATAGTTTGTTACAAATTAGTATAAACATCACGTGTTAGACAGTATGCAGAAGAATCCTGCTGACGTCATTGCACAAACAGAACCCTAATGCTTCCTACTGTGTTATTCAGCTGCCGAGCATTCCAAGGAATTAGGCCGAAGAAAGGTTGCGAAAGGGCGACGCGAATAGATACGACAGAAGGAGAATCTGATAGTTGGGCGTTACCACTTCCAGCGAAAGTTGTTAAGTGACATACGTTAATTAATGTGAGACTTGATAGAATGAATGAATAGAATTCGATCATAATAATTTTGAATATTTATTTTTAATGATTTTTAAAAATTGGAAAATTATCAAGTTTTAGAAAATTTTAGCATTTTTTAATAAAAATCTTCATCGATTCTAAATGTCCAGAAAACACTCTTATCCTAAATAGTCGCTGAAGAATCAATTCTAAATGAATAAATATATAATGTACTGCTCAAAGCTTGAGTCTTATTTGATAAATATTAAAGCTGTCCATGTGATTTTAATAGTTCAAATAATATTTTTTAATAGGATATGAATAACATTTCTGGGATATGTATACATCAATAAAAAATTCAATGTTAAAAAAAATTGTTATACTTCTTGCATGAAATAATAAAAGAATCAGATATTAGATTGCATAATCGAATAATAAATAAACAAATCTGATTACTATCTATTGTCTTCGTAAATTTCGTTATATTTACAAGCGCGATACAGAGACCGATTAGCGTAGCTCGAATTAGCGAAATCCTCATCACTTTTATTACGTTCTCTACAATCACCGCTATATTTGTCACACGTCTTGGTAATTTTCCATAAAACGACTCTTATCGCCGAGTAGTAGTATGTAACGCGCTTAAAATACAGACTCCGCCACTTAGATGAACCTCCCCTCTCCACCTCATTCTTTTATGACATTTCCTACGAGCGAAGTACAATGCGTAAAGTACCGTTTTTGTGCTTGAACTTAAACGTGTAAGAGAACCCGAAATTATCAAAAGAAACAGCATTCTGACGAGATGCAAAATAACTATATCTCCAATCATAATCCAACGATGCAAGGACTCTCCGGAGAATTAAAGTTCGATCGTCATTTCTTATCCTTCATTACATCACATATCGTGCGATTACCTCTTAATCTTAATGTATCGGCGATGAACTGTGAATTGAACCGTGGGAAATATTTCTTTATAAATATCTCTCTATCGAGGAAAAATGAGACTGTGCGTGGGTGCACACGTGCTGCGATTGTGATAAATAAAATATCTCTTCATAGGAGTTCGGTGTTCTCAAATCTCACGCGCTTCCGAGATTTATGACAGCAAGGTACGATCCCATCGACTGAAATGCGACCCTTTTCAAGTTCTCAGAATTAGCTACTCTCAGAGAATAACGAAATCGCAAACGCGATCGCGTCATGACTTGAATGCACGTGCTGAGAATGCACTGAGATGCACTAGTTATGCGTCGGAAGCGCATGCATACTCGAGAGTACGCGCGTGCGATCGCACTGATGAATGGACCAACTAAATAACGCGAGCAAGTTGAACCGGTCGCACAAGCACAATGTACCGCAAGATCGCATTATCAACGTATCACGTATCAACGTGAAAACAACATATTATATTTCACAGATTTCGACTTGATTTTCCTGATGGCGCGCAATTATTTCTCGCGATCTGTTGAAAGGCGTCAATCGAAATTAATGTCGATGATCTGATTAATGTCTGCTTTTGTCGATCCGATCGTAAATAATAATTTTCGATAATATAACTAAAATCATACCAGATTGCGATCAAGCAAGCATAACACATTGGAAATATTAAAATAGCGCGATTAGATTTTTTTTATACTTAGGATAAGACCACATATTTTTTTGGAGAAAAAAATGGATTTAAAAAATATAAGAAAAATTCTGACATAATAACATGTTATTACGACATTTGATACTTCCACAGACACTCGCGTTAAAAAGAAAATCAAGAGCTTTTACGTACCCCACTAACAATCCCGGCCAGGCAGACTGCGGATGCGACGAATCTGAAAGCAGAATTGTGCTGGGATATTATTCCGATAAATATTGCAGATATCATTGAATTACACAAAAGAGCTAAATGGAGTAAAAAGGAAGAGTGAAAAAGTCATAAGAAAAAAGATAGAAGAGCGACATAAATCTTTATTTGAACAAAAATTTTGCGTTACACTCGATTCTTTCAGAAATAAATTCCAACAATTTTAAAATGTACATTTTTGCGATATTACTTAAAAAAAAAAGATAAATATTCTGCACACTTAAGTAGATCTGATATCAAAAGTCAAAAAGTCCGAAAACGCGAAGTCAAAACGCGAAGCGAACGATTTCGTAAGGGATCGTTGTATCTCGTGGAGATCCAACGTCACTGAGACAGGAAGTGGAGTAAATATTCGTCACCGAGGTAAAGGAACTTGACATAGGAAAGGAAAAAGAAAAAAAACTTGCGCGAGCGAGATGAAAAAACGCGGAAGACACGATTTGCGGCTGCGTCGAAGCTACTCCGGGAGGACGATCTCCTGCGCGCACGCGAGTTCGCTTCTTGCGATCGTCCTTGGGGGATTCTCTCACTTTACGCGGAAGCCCGCGCGCAACGGGGGTGAAACTATCCCCTCCGGATAGGACAGAGCGAGATCGGCGCGGTCGGGCCCGTCCGGCGACGAGCCAAAAACAAAAATGAATTGCAAAGGAAACACCCAGCAAACGAAGAAAGAAACGAAAAAGAGGAAGAAGAGATAATGAGAGGACGAAGAGGAAGTAGTGGTTGTAGAAATCTGATCAAAGGAAGGAATCGGTGTAACGCGAGACGGAATCGAGGAAAAAAATGAGATCAATATGAAACTCACCGCAATCCCAACCGGGTCATGTCGACCTCCCTATTCCTCGATGGGTCTAGGGAGCCGAGGAAGCACAGGCTAAAGCACCGAGCACCGCACAGACAGGCAGTCACAAAATATCACGCAGAACCGGGCACCGAGTAGACAGATGGTGTGTGCGGACCGTCCCATCCAGGGAGGTCTCTGAATGGACTCCGGGTGGAGGGAAGGAAGGAAGGTGGAGGCGGCGGTCGCGCCGAGCCACGCCAGCTAGAATTCCTCCGCCGAAAGGACCGGGCCGAGAAGAGAGTGCCTTCTCTCGGCCTTCCGCGACGGACGACGTCGCGCGTTCAGGCCTCGCTTTGGCTCGCTCGTTTTCCCCGATGTCGACGGGGGATC